AAAACGCCTCTAGACGCGCACCGATTGCCTCGGGGCCTTGCGCAGCAAGGTGTTGCACACCCTCAGGGCCAAGCAAGGACATCGGCTTTTTAAGCCCGTCCTGCATGCCCTGGGGCAAAGATAATTTTTTTTTGTCCTCACTGAGTATCAGTCGTAACGACTCAGGTGTAGATTGACTGCAGGTGCTACCAAGTGCAGCGGGGCTGCCGTAGCTTTTTGCCTAGAGGAAGCGTAAGTCAGGTCACCGACCTTTTGTTCTAAACTTAGAACTAGTACGAGTTTAGCGGATCGCAATCCTCTTTCTCCAAGAGTAATTACAATCTTAACCCAAGTCTTTCGTTTAAATTCAGAACTATATTTACTTGTTTTTATCTGCGGCAAAGCCGCCTAATTTTAAATGTACCTAAGTATGTATAGTAAAATCGAAATACATGCATGACTACTTTACATTCTTTCGGCCCTTCGATCACCAATTCTTTGATTTCATCCTAAGCTTGTTTAGCATGTCAGTTTGTCTTTGGTACTCAAACATCTCTTATTCCATCTCTACAGAGAATAAAGTCTTCTGACGATTCAGTTGCGGAACTAATTTGGTAGCATATTGTCTACTTGTACGCAATTAATTGTACTGGTTGAAAAGACAGAAATACGTGCGTACAAAAAAAGAAGGCTTGATGTCTAAGGAATTTAATAAAGTTATCTAAGATATTCCCACTTACTCGTCTAAGCAAACTTAGATCCAATGATTGTCCAGCGAGAAGAAGAAAACGAGTTTACCTAAATTTGATACTTTCCAGGACTTTCAACAAGGCACTGGATACTAGAATGTTCGCCCTTTCTTTCGTCTTCATTCAATCATTAATGGGTAGCGGGCACTCAAAATTATAAATCCGCGTGATCTGTACATAACAGTTTCATGTCTTTTACTCAAGCTCTTGGCAAAGCATTGTTCTAAACGAACTAATTTGGAAAGAGAACGATCAACTTGTTGACCATCCTACTTGTATGCAGTCCACAGCATTTCTTGTTAAAGTTCACAATTGCAAGAATTTTGTCTTCAGGTAGGGTTGGTCTCAACATGGGCGAAAAAAACGCGACAGGATCCGTTAACATATCTTTCAATTACATTTTCGTATAAAGCAGTCTTGAACAAATTCAGCTGCTCTTCTGGTCTGAAGCCAGTGAGTTTTTACCCATCCCGAGGTTCAAGGTACACATCATCATTCTTCTCCTCAAATAAAAATCATTTGACTCTAACATGCGGTGCGAATCTAGGTCACCAGTCTTCTCGCATAACGTATCATTGTTTGCACGATTGAATGATAAGACATCAACTAGATTTTCATCGTTGCTGTACTATTCATTAAATAATTTTTTTCTCGCTCTCGTTTGCTTGCAAACTAGTTTAGCTCTTACCTAATTCATTAATGTTAATGTCCACTGAGTGCACTCAGTGCGCATTCAAAACGATCTACAATAGACTAGCTTACGTGTCTTCAACACCACAATAGCTCTGACGATAATAGAAAAGCCCCATTAAATTCGCAACATTCCTAAGCATTAAAGAGATAGTCCCACAGAACTGCTTTGCTGGAGCTTAAACGTTAGTAGTTGAAACAGAGTTAACCAATTGAGTTTGCCAGTGCCGGCACTATATGATACGCCCCCATCTTCGGATCATCTAGGAAAACGTGCGTAATTTTTTTTGACTACGTTT